TGCCGTTACGCTCGCGGCTGTTGACCTGAACGACACAGAACCGTTCCGTATGTCGCCCATTGAAACGGCAATTCTGGGGCTGAATTCCCACTGTGTCGCAATTTGTGTCACCAGCTCATTTTATTTCACATTTAATTTCCTCTGGATCCAATGTAAGAGAAAAACAAGGCATGCTCAAAAGTCTTGTACGAAAACAAGCAAAGACCTTACATCGCAGTACTCAAGGACTTGTGCTTCTTGTGCCTGAAAACAACATGGAGCTACGATCAGTGGCTGAAACGATCACATCGTGTATGATAATGGCTGACGGCCGGGCCGGGCCGAGCCGCTGTTCTCATGCAGATGATGTCGGAAATTAAGCTAATGGATCCAGACGCCTCCAACGATCGTTGCCAATAGGCTGGACCAAGGCGTTGGAAAGCGTGGCAGTTCTGACACTCCACCCAGCGGCGGCCCATTGATGTGAGATTCGTGCACTAATGCACGAAAGACAGGACTTGTTAACTGCCATCTATGAGTGTAGTCACGCTTGGTAAAACACGCACATTTCGGCTGGGTATAACCACAATGCACGAGCCTACCCGTCAGCATAATTTTCATGGACAATTGCGTTACAAAAAGGTTTTAATGACATAGTACGAAAGGTCATCCGACTATTTACGGTGCGGTGCGAGCATTTCATGACGGCCGAAAATCGCATCAGACAGCTATGCGTGACGCATCAAATTGGTATCCAGCAGCCAAATCCAACGAGAGGCAGGCGTCGCGTTCATATTTTTATTTAAACTGTAGACACGTCTTTCCTCTTATTCTTTAAATTCATTTAGAATGACTTTAATCCTAGATCTCCTCATGCTTCGGATATTACTATCATCCGTGCCGTTACCATTTGCTGTTAATATCCTTACCCACGCTACTGCACAGCGGTCGCATCCGTCGCAGTGTTGGCGCAAATGTGTTTCATGTATATGCAAACGTGTATATGTGGCTGTGGAGGCTGCCGACAGCTAAAGAGAAAAACGAGCTGTGAGTTGGATACAATATATCCACATTAGCGTCGTCTGTACTGACTGGGAAACTCTGCCGTTTGGCCTCTAATAACTCAGGCACCGTAGATTGCAGACGGCCGAATCCCGACCTGTTCTGAATCAGCGTGGCGAGAGGAATGTTTACGCAATACTTTGGTGCAGATCGAGCCAGCGTGCGTCGCGCGGATCGAGCAAACTTGACCCATGCGGTTAGCACTGGCGCCAGTTGATACCGCGCCATTTGAAAGTTGCCGCGGCAGCACAGAATATGGGTCGCTGAATGGTTGCGTATCTGCCGGTTCCGAGGAGACGAATAGTTGAAAATTAAACTAAACCGATTTGTATAAACGCGAGCAGAAACTGAGAGATCAATAAATAAAAACTGGTCCTGCACCACTGTCTATCAGCTGTGTTATTCGAGTTAGAGCATGGCAAGCATCCCTGCTCCCGTTTACCTTCGGTTTCTTGGAAGTTGAACGTCTTGTGGTGTGATATTTCTTAGATTTTTTGCTGTATTGTTTCAGTAAGTGATTTCTTGGACACATATTTTAACAATGAAACCAAATACAACCACATAGTGCGTGTGTTCAACTTTCTATTCCTTTGCAGTAAACCTTCCTTCATTACCTGCTCATTCATTACCCTGTCTTTCATCATCCAGCCACGCATAACGCATTCATTCATTTCCCGGTCATGCACTGTCCGGTTATCATTGTCCGGCCATTCATTACCCGGCCAGCCATTACCCCGTCTTTCATTACCCGATCATTCATCACCCGGTAATCGCATTGATAGTTCATACTATATTGAGTAAATATCTGTTTCCTGTTTTGGTCAGATTATGTCATCAGAAAATGTTTTTAAAAAATGATTATGGCTTGACATGACGCTGCATCCATTGACTGGTCTGAACTGGAAATTCAATGGACGTAAGTGACTTTACGTTTTGTTCCTGTTCCGACAGAGGAAAAGGAGGAAATGGAGCACCTCCAGGCGTACAACAGGAAACTGCTGGCCAACATTTTACCAGCGCATGTAGCAGACTATTTTATGTCTGGGGAAAAAGGAGACGTAAGTATTCATTCGGCATCAATCTGTAAACAGTCATCCGTAGTATCGATGCCTTACAGATCGCAGCAGGCAGGCTCCTGATGGGAACCAGACGAGCCCTTCACTAACCGGTAAGAGTCATAAGTACGGTCATATTTGTCTTCCCTGGAGTTAGCCAAGTACAGTTTTATTTATTTGGCGTGCGGCAGCATGTGAACGCAATGGCATCGGTTGATAATTGTCACTTAACACTTTTGCGTAGTTTTATTTGGCTTTCTGTTTTATTTCCTTTTAAATTTTGACGTTTTGCAACGCTGCCGGAAATGCGACTCGATCAAACGGCGGCAAACTCGATCAAAGTCAATCTAGGCGGAAATGTCCTGGGTAAGTTTTCTGCTTAACTTTAAGTACTCTGTGATGCCTGGTGCTTGGAAATCGTCGTCCAAATCCTTCATTCATGCTTTTAGGCGCGCGAAGAATTCCTCTGTTGTAACGTTCATTCGCTCAGTCAGCCACCGATTCAATTAAAGCACTCACTCAACAGTCTTGGCTTCGCTCATTATTTTTCATTCTAGCCAACTGCAGCCCTCAATAACTCAGTTATTTACTACGGCACTCAGTCGGTCACTAACTCACTTAATCACTGATCAACTCTGCCAATCATTGAGTAAATCACTCATCATCCTTACGTCACTCCTCCCATCCGCTCACATATTCCATCGCACACAGCCAATCTCTATCCATGAATCAATCCAGCGAGCTAGAATTGCTTTTGAACTAGGGTGGGAGTGAAAAATTCCATCGCAAAAAGACCGTCCGGGAGTGAAAAACTCAATTTACAAAAGATGGAACTTATGAGGTGGTGACTGATGCTTCAGCAAACAGATATCTATCTCAAGTTCGCATGGACGTAACATCATGCACCTGACAAAACTGTTTTGTTTCTGAACATCTTAGGCCATTAAAGTGAAACAGAAAACATTAAAGCTTAGCAACTTCATGACAGTGTAATGAGCATAATAGATTATTAACATCAATAATTTGATGTTGCACTTCCCTCCCACAGCACTTTTAGCACAACTCAAAGCAAAAGAATTCAATAACAAAATAACAGAAAGTTCAACGAGGATGAAGCGCTCAAACAAAAAAATCCCTGGACTTGGACAAAATTCAGCCCATCACCAAGTTAAACACAATATACATACTTCTGGCTCCTGTTAAAATGGGGTCAGGAAAACAAACATTTTGTCACTGTTTCTTACAAAATGCCGATGCTTATTTCCATGAAAGTAGCCTAACTATGCCCGACCTAAATGGGCCTTACTTCATCTCATCCTGTCTAACCTGTTGGTATCACAGCAGCAGTTGTGAGTTACTGATTCCTGCACAATTCCTATTGTCACGTGCCATGCACTTAACCAACTTAACTTAGAGTAGCCCATATGTTGAACGTCATCTCAACTAACCTATCTGTTGACAGCAGCACTTACGATAAAAACATGATAAAGCTCATTTTTAGCTGCTTTCAGCTTGCATTTGTATTCAGTTTATTTGTGTATGCTTGGTGACTTCAGACAAAGTTGACAACACCCAAATGGAAACCACTTGCATCTATCACTTTGAACAACTTATTCTGATTGCCATGGTTAAGCTGTGTCAAGGGCAATAATGGGTATGCTCCACAAAACAATCGCTCTTCTCCAAAAGGAACATAACTTTTAGATGACCATGCCAGTTTTGCTGCTTGCCTTTTCAGCTGTAGCAAAGACATCTATTAAAGCTTGTTAATTCATCTTTAATGACATAGCTTGAGATGTTGGCTTCACATTTTCAATGGCATGGTCTGACTATTTGCTTAATGCTGATATTTACCTCATATCACAATTGCTATGCAGCTTAGAGTATTCCGGTATTAAAAATATAGTGCGTATATACAGTACAGTTATTTGCCAGTAAGCAAACCATGACAACCATGGAAAACATCTGGTTAAAGCAACTATGAGGGGCCACTTCAAGAAATTTGCGACAAATAATCAGGAATGTGGAACAAAATAAGCCCATTGCATGCCTTGTGGTAAATAATTTCTCTTACGACAAAACTCACGATGATGACTGAAGCAGAAAATTGCTAACTCTGGCTACCAATCATGTGTTGAAAGCAGGTCAGGTAAGCAACTACTTGGTCCACAGGAGACTTACTGTCTTCTTCCTGCTCCCCAAAAACAAAAACTCAGCACCTTTTGCATGGTTTGCTGGCAGAGTCATCCCACTCACCCCCAAATAAAATATAAATCATGCCCACCAACCTACGAGATTAAAATGCGAAACAAGCGAGAGGCGTGCATGATAAACATTTCCGGAGGGCAGAATTTCGCCATCAAACACTTCTGTATTAGCTGCGTCAGGTCTGTCCCAAAGCTGTGTATGGCAGCATAAGGATAGCCTTGTCAGGTAGCCTGGTGAGTTATACGCTCGAAATGCTTAGATTTATCCTTATCGAGCACCGCCGTGAACCAAAAATGGCTAACCGAGGGTTTAGCAGGGCAAAAATGGCAGTAAAAATGGGTTTTCTGCTTCAAATTGTCTCCTTTATTGCCTGTGAATTGTTCATTCTTGGGCGCATATCAAACACGTTTGGGCGACCTGGCGAATTAATCTAATTTATGTATAAATACGTGCAAGTTTGCAGTTGGAGCATATTGCCACAGAAAGTGGTCAAAATTTTAAGCAACTGATGGTACCTCTAAAGGCAATGGGAAAGGAAGAAAAGAATAAAGGTGTCTCAACACTCGCATGATACGAAGGAAAAAGCAAAAGTGGTTGATAAATGTAAAGACTGATACTTTTTTTGGGAACGTTTTGTATCAGATGATCTTGACTTAAATTTTGTTAAAATAAGTGCTCATATTGTGATATTCATCTTTTGAATTTATTTAGAATACATCTTTTGAATTTTGCACCCCTGCATTTCGGGAGTGATGCCAATTTAGTCGTCAAGTTTCTTCGGGTAAAATAAATATTTGAGGCAAGTTGTCTACCGGGCCTTGCTGGCGTTTGCACCAGGCTCTGCTTTCGTGGTGTGGTGGTGAGACAAAAAAATTGGGGATACGTGAAAACCTTGCATTTGGCACACCCGCCGATTGTGATGCATTTTGTAAACAAACCAAACTTGATGCGTGCAAGCGGCTGGAGTCGCTGGGGGGGTCTTGGGCTTGGAGGTACCTGGCGTCCTGCTCTGTGCATACATAGACATGATTCAGATTTAGGTGAGGCAGGACATAGCCATAATTGTCCAGGCTCTGTGGAGCCTTGTTTATGCTTGGTGGTTTCAATTGAGCTCGGTTTTGTATGACATCTGAAAACCTCAGAAAGGGAAATATGGTTTTGGCATTTGCGATTAGACAATGTCAGGCAGGAGTGAAAAATTCACATAAAATATGGGGAAAATGGAGTGAAAAATTCTCTCCTCATAGGGTGTTGCTTTACACCCAAAGTCGGTTATTCTAGGACACTGAATCAATCACGTGTTGGCTCATTTCATCACTCACACAAGCATACGTAATGACCATCTGTTTCCTCGATCAATCCGCTCTGTAATCATGTCTTCGAATTCGGTCAAACGCTCAAATATAATTTTCTCCCCTCATCTCCTTTTGTGTCTAGCCTCTTAATTGGACCTTGATTGAGCCTTCCCCTACCCTTCCAATCCTAGTTGTACCTCTTAATTGTATCGTTTCCTCGTTCTCAGTGGAGCGTGCCGACTGTTTCTGTGTCGGGCGGGGCGATTCCGGCTGGCTGAGGTGCCGCGTCTCCTCCGGCAGGACCTGTACCCATCAGCAGTGCGACTCAGTGCTGCATCATGTTTGCGTCCATTCCGAACTTCTCGGACCTTCTACGTGGAGCTGGAGGGCAACAACGAGGGTGTCGAATGCCCTCCGCCTGCTGAATGAGATCATCGCCGACTTTGACGAGCTGCTCAGCGAAGAGCGCTTCAAGTACGTGGAGAAGATCAAGTCCACCGGCTCCACCTACATGGCCGCTTCCGGTAAAGTGGCAGAACCAAGGCAGATCTCAACACCATCCTGACCCTTCAAAATTATACGGACTGGCTTCGTACGTGTACTTCCACACCCCCAACGCTAGCAGCTACCAGTTTCCTCCCTACGTTTTCAAATCAAAGATGAAAATTCTACAACGCTCATGACCCCGGGAATCAGCATGAAATGTATCAATCAAGGAAATAGTACTGGACATCCTATGTGTTTCCTACAGTGCAGTACAGCTTGCGGCGAGCATTTAAAAGATGGTATATGCGCATGTATTTTCCATATATCATTATTGGGGTGCGGTGACAGTGGTTCTCTTCCCCAAGCAACTGTGCTAGCCCCCGGACTAGCATCTGAAAATGACTGTCGACTCTTTACTGGGACGGTACTTAATCAATGCAATGGTCACACCATCTGCAACCAGGGCGGATTCAGGATTTTGTCAAGGCGGAACACCTTAAATTTCCGAGGGTCTGCAATGAGGTGGCGTCCGAAAAGTCTCGTGGGGAAATGTCCTATTTTGTTTCTTTTCCAGCTTGGTACATGTACAGCAAGCACACTGCATGCGGAAATTGATGTCTGGCTAGCTTATGTGCATTTGAATGCGTCATTTTCACTTTTCTGGGAAGATCCGCGATTGTGTGCGCTCGAAATATCAGCCGTAGATCCATGTCCAACTTTACAGGGCACACAAGAATTTGACCTCACGGGGGTAGCCGAGTGGGTTCCAAGGAACGGACAATGCGGGACCCATAGCCACCAGTCATGGGAGTCCGAAGCCGGCTTCGGCTTCGGCGTCCGCTTTGCAGAGACTCGGCTTTCTTGCAATGACTCTGGATTCGACTGCGGCTGTGAAACATTTCCTTCGGCCAGCTTCGGCTTCAATTTCGTCATCTTGCCATTCTGAATGGTTGGTTTGAGCCTCGGCTTTTGCTGCATGACATATTTAACAGATGGCTTCGGTTTCGGTTTTGAAGGCATTTTGAATTATAACTCCGGCCTCGGTTCATTGCGACTTTATTTGCTTTGGCTCTGTCATGCTAATTTGTCACCACTGTTGCGGCTTTGCTTCGCCAAAACAGTCTTACCGTGCCGTTAACCCAACATACCACGATTTGTTTAGGCTGTGAGACATACATGACCAAAATTTAAACAAACCGGTTATTTCTAGGACAATTAAACGCTTGCCGACGGTCCGATAATCCAATGCCCGAAACGTTGCGCATATATGGGTGCAAAGGACGAGAATGATAATCCGGAAAATATTTATTCGTAATGCTAACGTCTTGTTTCAATCACTTCGCAAAGCGATCGCGATGTTTCCTTATGTCAAGCAGTGTTTGGAAGCGCGAAAAGGGCTTTGACTGCGTAAAATAACGTTTGCACTAGATCCAGCTTCGGCTTCGGCACCGTTATTTCGAACTAGGGTGATTGGCTTTGGCTTCGCTTTTCCTGGGTTACGAAACCCCTGGCCTCTGCCTCGGCTTCGCGTTTTCAATTTCAAGGCCACTGGTTTCGGATGCGGGTTCAAGTTTTGTAAATACGAAGCGATTATCTTCAATTTCGGCTTCGGCTTCGGCTTCCCCAGTTCAAGATTAATCCGTTTCGGCAATCCGTTACGGCTTCAACATCATCGTTGTCATTACCCTCGGGCTAAGATTACACTTCGAATCTAGAAGCCTGACTTTGTTTCCATCCCGGATGGACGCGCCTTTGAACCTGCACTCTGACGCCGCTGTCCAGTAACACTGAGACAGCTCGACACTTCAGAGCCAAGATTCGAGTGCATGAACGCTTCATTAGAAACGTGGTTACACGAAGACCTCCTGCTACAGTGAAATAGAGCTATTTTCAGCATAAGAACTGCTCGCTCTCATAATAATTTAGCTTCTACCATGTCAAATGTGGACAGGATGAGATGTAGACATCTAAGTGATCTCTCACATTTGTAATGGCTGTCATTTTTTAACAAAATTTGAGTGATAGTTCCGGTAAAGTTTTGCATGCAACCCAGAAGATCCACCTCATTATGGTATATGATGTGTAGCGGGTAAATATATGCAAGCATCTGCTTTTTCTTAAAAGAACAATTTCATATTTTTGTCATAAAAACATTACATGCACATGATATGCTCTACTCAAAACTATAACTAAACACACGTACTACGGCATGTGTCGAATTTTGATCGCATGGTTCGCCTGCACTTGTATGATTTTTTTCCTCATGTTGTCTGTCATCAGGCTGCAATAGTTGGCGGTTGTGCCGAGTACATGCATGACAATTTTGCGCCACCGCTAACCTGGGTGGACGTTTACCGCCATCGGCTCATGGCATGTTAAATTTGCTTCCTGTCTTATCACATTTGGTTTTCTGGTTTAAACGTTACTGCATTAGCCTGTAGCTACTTAAGCTTTTTAGCGTGGCAATGTCCAATACGGCGGGGAAAGGTGTGCACCTGTTAACAGGGGGCCAGACAGCCTCGGTGTCGACCATGATTGCCCCCTGCCCAGGATGTGAGTGCGTGCTTTCCATCGGCCAGGTCTGACGGAGGCGACCTGTGACCTGAAGACCTTCCGGCACGTGACGGCCATGGCTGACTACGCGCTGCGATTAAAGGAGCAGCTAGCCTACGTCAACGAACATTCCTTCAACAATTTCAAAATACGCGTCGGTAAGTGCACTTCGTGGCATGAATGTCGCGATGTGGCATGTGCAATGCAGTCTATTACAGTCAGCCTTGGAAGTGTTTCTCCAGTCCCGGGGCACAATCATCGCTGATGTTGTTTTTAAACAAATTTGTGATAGCTGCTCTGATAACTTGGAGCGTGTTTCCGTTCAAGGTAATGCTGAAATTTTTCTCAATAAACCGTTCCTTAGAAAATCTGCGATATCATTGACGGGATTGATAAATATCGAAGCTTCGGATGGGTGTGTGATCAGGATCTCACTCAGTGTCCCATCTCCTCCCGTGCCTCTCCGGGTGTTCAGAAACGGCAGTCGTTCTAGGCCTGGACGATCTCCTAGAGCGCATCACCGTACACGAGACGCCGACGGCATCCCCCGGCCTACTCCCGCATACGTTATTCACTTAGGTAGCGGAGACCATTATTCGCTGACCGTGGTAGAGGATCGCAGACCTCGCAGAACGCGGCGAGCGGTCCCAGCCGAGCGCAGCTTCGTACAATGCCCCGAGGCGGTGGCCTGCGCGCCGTCGCCGCCCAGCTGCGGCAGGCGTTGCGCTCCCCTGCCTCTCTTTCAGCGCCGCGTGGCGATGGGGGCTGGAGACACAGCCACTGTCCCTGATATGCTGACGTCATCCGTCTTTGGCTCGTTTCCCATGAATCCATTGTTGAATTGCCCTGAGTCATGTCGACGGCTCCAACGCCCTCGCCCGCATGTTATCCAGGACGTAGGAGCTCTTTATAACAGTGCCTGGAGCGGCTAAGGGAGGAGGAGGCTTGCATGTCACTACACACGACAGAAGAGGAAGGAGCTGCATCACGGCCGGCCCAGATGTCGGAGGTAGCGCCACATAATACATAATGCATAACAGCACAAAGCCACCGAGGAGGATGGGGAGGGAGAAAGACGCGTGACAGGACGGGGATCTGTTGGATTCGTATTCGGCATAGTCGCGCTGGGAGCTCTAAAATACCATAGCAATGAGATGTCTAGTGAACTTCGCATGACATCCGAAAGGGACCAAGGGAAGATGAAAAAAGCATCATGGGCTCGGGCACAAATGCGATAAATGCATTTTAAAAAGCGATGGTAACATAACGCGATTGGTATTGATAATATCAATATTGTGTGAATTATTTTGCGTCGCTCTTTCTCAGCATTTCTTAATGATCAACACCTGCGCACATTTTGTACCGCTTCCAAGTGGCTCCCACCAAAAAGCCCGCTGTATTTTGGGATTCGGCCTGGCTCAAGCGATTCTTCCAGGTCAAGCAGGCAAGGCACCGCCTGCATGGTTACAGCCGTTCAAGTGGCTGTAGCCATGTAACCACCCTTTGTAGCTCCCCAAGCAAACGAAAGATCGCCCAGCACAAGTCCTACTCGCCCACGCCCCCGATCGAACAAACAGCCATGTTCGGGCGGCCGGCGAGGGCTATCTCTGTCATTTCCGCTGCTGCTTGTGCAGGTATTTCTTCGGAGAAATTGTCACCTGCTGTGTCACCCCGAGAGCTCAAGGGCTGGAGGGCAGCGTAGTGGGATTGCGGGGCTTCATTAATTGCTCTTAATCGTACGCTTAGGTCAGGTTCCTCGCGGAACTAAATAAACTGACCGCAAATCAGCAGCACGCCTAAACTGCGGATGTTCGATGTGTCTATTAGCAGTGTGCGCACTACTCTCGTTCACGCTAGCGACATCCACGGTGATGGCCCGTCTTACGCTGTTGCCTCTATCCTGGACAGCACACAGGCTCGCCCACTCCAATATTACAGCATGACTTCGGATACGGTGATATTCGAGGAGCATTAAGAACATGAAAGTGAAACATTTCACGCATGCTTGATGTCTGAAGGAGATTGCTGATGATGCGGGTCTCTGGAATACAGGCGTGGTGGGGAGATCACCACGCCTGTTCTATCTGGGAAGTGTGACGTTGGCATCCGAAAGAAGCAGCTTACATTGCAGCCGTTCTCTACATGCTAGGCGGATACGAATAGGAAGTCCAGCGAAGCAGAGTCACTTATGTCAGCCACCAAATACACGAGGTCCAAAAGAGTCGGCAGAACCCGACCAGCGGGGACGGAAAGATCGTCTGATCTATGTCAGGCCATGCCGATGGCGCGGACTAGGTGGACGTGGACGTTTTGTGCCCGCATGCCATAGTAGGAAGTCGTTTCCAGCTTCCTGCGGACGTGATCCACACCCCGGTCAGCTGCGACACCTCCGGGTCGCTTCTAACGCTGACGTGTCACGTGGTCAGCGCTAACTCTGTGTCCGTCATGCAACTGTGGCTGAGCAGGCAGGTGTAACGGCACGCTGAAGGTGCCGCAGACACCAGTCGAGGTTCTACAGCCGTTCGATGCTACATTCCGTATGCATATCACGACTACCCCAGACTCCGGAGCACAGGCGCCTGTCAGGACTGGGAGACGTGAAACGTCTCTGTTTTCGGCCTCGGGAGCTGTCAGTCTACACGGAGGAGGAAATTCGAGCTGCCAATGGCTAGACATGGAAATGCGTTGGGACGTTTCCACCTGAATCCATGCTGCAAAATCGTTTAGCCGACCGTTTAGACAACCGATGCATTCCTCTCCCCAGACGTGCAAAACTCTCTGTTGTCTTGGTCTTTCTCGCGAGATCTCGGGATCCTACCCGACACGCATCCGGGACCTCCTCCCCAGAAGGTGACCGCAGCGCAGCTAAGCTCGCCTGACGTCACACTCGCGGAGGTCTCCAAAACCGTAGCACAAGACAGCGGAGCGGCGTGCGGCTGTTCGCAGCAATCTGGTAGTGAAATAGCACGCGGGCGTATTCAGGAACAGTGGAACGTTACGGGCTATGGTCCATGAAGGTCGAACTACGGGACGATCGAGAACCGCTCGCATTCTAGGTGGTGTGACAGATTTTCGTCACTTGGAGAGAAAGCAAAAAGCGACTTGGACAGCATGCTCCACCAAGGCGTCTTCACGGCACTGGGCGATCAACTCACACACTGTTGCCACCCGATGGGGATCGTTCCGAAGCCACGGGATCTGGTCCGGATCTGCGTGGATACGACAAAACTGAACGAGCACGTGAAGCGCTCTCCGCACCCACTGACATCGACAAAAGCTGCCGTGCGACGCGTCTCGCCAAGGGCGACGTTTTTTACAGCACTGAATGCGGGGACCGGACGCTGGCAGCTGTCACTGGACAAAAAGAGGCAGGATCTGACAATGCTCCCTAAAACCTTGAGGAGGTTGAAGTTCCTCCAGTCACCCAAGGGCCTGGCTTCAACCTGGTTTGAGTACTGTCGGCGAGCAGATCAGGAGATTGCTGGCATTGACAACTGGGCGAGGTAGCCGGTGATGTTCTCGTCTCGAGATGCCAGTTTCCTGGACCACGTCGCACGGGTATGAGACGTCGTCGAGCGCCGCTGTCGGTATAACATCACGCCGCGGTTGGATGCGCCCTCGCTCATCGCCCCATAAGGTCAGCGCCTACGGTTGCTTCGTGCCCCGACATGGGAAGGAAGCGGACCTTTACGAGCACAAAGGTATTCTCAAAAGCTGCTGCTAAAGCTGAGTCCCCAACATCAGTGGGCATAACCGATATCAGGTCGTGCATGGTTCTGGTTCAACAGTTGACCGATTTTGCGGTGAAGATCTCCACAGAAACTGACAAGCTCAAGGATCTACTCGAACCACGAAATGCATTCTGCTGGACTCTGAATCACTTGGCTGCATTCAGCGAGGTCCAGCGGGCTCCCGCGTCCACACCATCCTCGGCCCACTTTGGCCCAGCGCCAACGAGAGCGCTGTTAACCCGACGTCGTCCGTCTCAAAGGCCTTGGATTTGCCCTGTTGCGACCACGGAGACCAGAGAAAGCTGATGCAATGCGGATCACTTTTCCTGACGGGCACTGAATCACGCTTCCCAACTCTGGAACTTGAACTTGTGGCGGTTGTTTGAGCGTTCAAGAAGTATCGCATTCGTCTGCTGAGCCCGCAAAACTGATCATAAGCCACCGATCCCAATCCTGAAAGGTACACGCCAGAAGCTATAGGGAATCATCGCATTCAGCGACTGAAGGCTGCATTGTGCTTCTTCAGAGCCATCTAGCCTAGGAGGCAAACAGCACGTGACCCCTGACGCATTCAGTGGAACACGTGATCCCTAGCAATCTCAGTCGAGCTCCCATCTCCCACCATCTCCGGAAGACGCAGCAGAGGTCCAGAAGATCCAGCACCCTGTGCAAGTGCGGGAGTTAACGACTGAGCAATAAGCACGTGCGGATAGCTCAAACCGGCTCAGTTCTGCCGAAAATGAAATGAGGACGTGAAACTGTCTCGTCTGAAAAGCCTTGGAAAGCAGGATAGTCAGTGCCAAATGCTAGCTCAGACCGTAACCGCAGGCTTCTCCAAGTCCAGAGGAAAAGTGGCACTCGTCTCCTGCCGTTGTGGAAAAATGCTATAGGCTCGGACCCAAATGCATTGAGTGCATTTTAAACAAGGATGGCAACATGGCGCGGGCAGGATGCACGGGTCCCACGGCTGCGGAGCGATCACCGCGGGATGGCACCAATCCATGGGATAACCCCCCAGCGGTGTGACGACGCCTTGCCGGACCTTGTTGTCCAACGCGCTTTTTTACTTTGTCTCTCCAGGCGACGGGAATCTGCCGCTCGCTCAGATAACACAAAGTTGCCATGATATTCCTATGCATGGATCTTCATCGGTGAAGCGTTTTTGACACGCGGTCGGGTGAAGTGGGGGGTCAGGTTGACCCCGGAGGTTTTTCCAGAATAATTTCCGAACGGCGCGTTGCAGCCCCGCCAAACTTTACTTAGCTGTACAGAATTAAATGGAGATTGTTTGGTGTTAAAAATTAGATGCACCGTGAGAGGTCTCTGATCTACAGCAGGTCAAAGTCAGGCCATGGATGTCTGCGAGGTCAGTCAGAACGAGATCAAACTAACTTGTTTTTTTTTTGCTCGAGAGCTTGGTTTTAAGT